ATGAAAAACATACGTACGATTAGATTTGGTAATTCTAGGATCAATGGGGATCCTCGAATCTCTAAGATCCCGTGAATCTCTGTTGAATCTGTCGGACCTTGGGTCACGATAAAAGCTGAAAATATAATATTAATTTAGTATAAGAAAAAATAATGAAATTTATTTAAAACATGTATGAGACCTCTCGATTCCTTCCACGGAAAGAGTGCTGTAAAAAAGAGTAACTTTTTCAATTACATAATCTACAATCGAATCTTTTGATCAACGTAAGATTCACTTACTTGTCTGCGATATTAAATGCATTTGCCCCTCTTGGATCGGTGGCAGCTGGTATCACTGATGGCGCACTGACTGGTGCAGGTTGAGTTTGGGGCGAGCCTCTTAAATCTTGATCCATCCTAGCTACACGTGGATCTAATTGTCTGTCTAGTCGAAGATCTACGTCTTGACCTGTTTTTGAATTGAATTGATTAATTAATAAATTGAACGTTAAAATTTAACAATGTTCAAAAAGATTTCAATTTATGTAGTATGTGGCAAATGAGAATAAGAGCAAATTACGTTAATTCATTAATAATTTATTTTCATATCGAAATGACTAAAGAGTAATTTTTTATGATAAATAATTCTAATCCCTAACAATAATTAATAACAATAATAGTTGTTGCAGCAAGATAGATTTTTATTTGCCACATTCAAAACATTTACGCATATAAAAAACGTAAATAATAATTGATCAAACATAACAAGAACTTTAAAATAACAATTTTATGTTTTTAATAATTCTCAATTTGATTAGTCAATTTCTTTGCCATTAAAGTCCTCTTACTTTTTATATGCCACTAACTTTATTTTGTAATTATTGGAAGCTTTCTGCTAAGATTGGATAATTTCTAGATTTAAAAATAATATCCAACTTCAAGACAGAAAACTCTTAATAGTTATAAAATAAGAACAGGAATAAGAGATTCAGGAACAGAAAATTATTTTTGATTAATGAAAAAAACTTATATATTGAAACATAGCTTCTTATATATCAAAATTTAATTCTCTAATCTTCTTTATGTTTAATTCCTTTTTTTTTCATCGTATGTTCTTAAACATTCTGTTCAATGCTATTTTACCTGCGAAAATGGGAGCTGGGGCGTTGACAGGTGGCGGAGGTCGTGGCGCCCAAGGCTCCTCGATTCGCGGTTGTATTTGCGGAATTGGTTTATCCGATGGTGTCAGCACACCTGGGATGGGATTAGCTTTGTGCAACATACTAACTGCCGTATGTGGATCCACTATCCTCATGACCACTTGCGCTTGGAGCAGAGCATAAGCCAACTGAGGATTCTGTAGGAGCATCTGACGTGCTTCATTTGGATTATTCTGCACGCAGAGTTTCATCTGTTTCATCAATTCGAACATTTGCTCCGGTGGTAAAGATGCCACCGCTTTGCTTATTGCCTCTGGTGCTTTATCTGATTGTACAGCTTCTCCATATGGATTCTCTGTATTTTGTCCCTGTAAAAGACTTTGCATCTCCATGCGACTTTTTTCAGTGCATGCATTGTCCACCCGTAATGTTCGTCCACCGATTTCATATCCATTCAAGTTTCTCATAGCACTCAAAGCTGTCTCTTGGTCTTTATATTCACAGAAGCCATATCCCTTAGGCTTGCCTGTCTCACGATCAAAGACTAATCTGTTTACAATAATATATAAATTATCAGCAGATTCTCGAAAATATAACAATAAAGGAATGGTAACTAACAATCAAGCACTGTATCGTAAAAATTTCTAATGAACATATTTATTTCATTAAAAATCAAAATACACAATACTGTCTTTTGAATGCTTATTCAAATTTTTGACATTTGATATTTTTATTTTAATTAATTTTAACAACCGGAAATTTTTGTCGTTTACAAATACTTGTCCAACTTCGATTTCTTGTGATAAGCAACTAATTTATGCAATTTTTATCTTATTGCAACTATGCATTTAAAACAAAAATTTGA